TACACCATGACTCAAGAAGCTTGATAAAAGAAAGCTTTCAATGGGAGTTGACTAACATTTTCAGAGGGTGAATCCTTGACCGTCATGTTGGTAAACATGGCATCGGGCAGCCATGGCACTGAAGCAGTAGCTAGGAGCTTATATATGATGCACAAGCAGGAGGCAGAGAATGAGGCTAGGTTTGCTGTGGGCTCTTGAAATCCCCAAAGCCCACCCCAGTGATAAATCTCCTCCAATAAGGTCACAGCTTCTAATCCTTCTCCAAACAATTCCACCAACTAATGATCAGACACCCAAATCTATCTATCTATCTATCTATCTATCTATCTATCTATCTATCTATCTATCTACTATCTATCTACCTATCATCTATCTATCTATCTATCTATCTATCTATCTATCTATCTATCTATCTATGTATTTACCTGTCATTTCTCCTTTATTATCTATCTTCTATTAATCATCTGTTTATTTACTATTTATAATCTCTCTATATTATCTATCTAACAAGGAAGCTCAGTGAGAACTATGTGGGACTCAAGAAAGGGGACTAATAGAAGGTAGTATTATGGGAAGAGAAACGGGAGCTGTAAAAATGATAAATACATATGAATGGAAACATCACAATGAAATACATGATTTTGCACTAGTTTCTTTAAGCAAAGTAAACAACAGGTAAAGGGAAAGCCAGTTGTCTGAAAAGAGCAGGTCATTAGATAGGTTAGGAAAAGAAAGAAGAAATGCAATGTAAGCAATCAATGAAGTCTATATTGAACAACACCACTGAAACTAGTCATGTGAGATAGAAGAAATTGAAGATTCATAAGAGATCGATTGGAAAAACTCAAATGAAGTCAATTTTATGAAGGAAAATAAAATTTACATAAAACATCACAACACACAGAAGGTTTAAGGAAGATAGCTTCAATGGAGGCTCCAGATTAAACTGTCACTCTGGGGGTTGGCGAGGTGGCTCAGATATTAAGAGTACTTGTCAGATAACCAGAGTTCAGTTTTCAGCACTCACATGGTGGCTTGCAACCTTCCTTAACTCCAGTTCCAGGGCCTCTGGTGCTCTCCTCTGGCTTCCAAGGACACCAGACATACTAGCAGTGCCTGTACATTCATGCAGGCAAAACACTCATACACATAAAATTAAAACAATAAACAAATCTCAGACTGGCACAGTGTTGTTCCCAACAAAGCAGCAGGCATATCTGCTTTCATAGAGGAATTCAGCTCTTTAAAGGAGAACCATGGCAATGGCATTTAAACCAACCTGGAGAATCACTGTGAGAGGAAACCTTCAATGTCTACTGGGAAAAGCTTTGATAATGGAACCTAAGTATCTCTGCATGCAGAGAGAACTGTAGGTCAATCTACTATGGTTGGTGATGAAAACATTCTAAAACTAGTTTTTCAAACACAGTCAGTTGTGGAGGGCCGGACCATATTCTCCATTGCTTCTAGGAACAAAGGTAGAGATTGACCTCTGTGACCCCAAGGTGTGGCGGTACACGCCTTTAGTCCTGATGCCTGGGCGGCAGAGGCAGATTGACCTCTGTGACCTCAAGGCGTGGTAATATACGCCTTTGGTCCCAATGCCTGGGAGGCAGAGACAAGCAGATCTCTGTGAGTTCAAGGTGATGTAGCACACGCCTTTAATCCCAGCGCACATGCTTGGTAACTCTCTACCGCTGCGTCCCTGCCTACTCCCGAGGCATCATCTGGGATAATGGGCAGTGGACCCATCCAAGAGTGACACGTCAGAAGCGAGGACTGTTTCCTTTATAAGGGTTGGGTTCCATCTTATCTGGGTCTCCGCCATGTTGGCTGATGCCCGCTCTCCCAAGGGGCATTAAAGCTTTACTGCAGAAGTATCCTATGTGTACCGCGTGGTTCTTGCTGGCGAGACGGTAGCGCGGGACAGTCAGTAATTATTTTAACGATAATAATGATCATAAAAATAGACAATCTCCCCTCATACCTATTAGGATGGTTATACTTTTGTTGTTTATGCATTTATTTTTGAGAAGGGATCTTTCTATGTAGTTCATATTGGTTTCAAACTCACAAACTGCTGTTTCCACATCCCTAATCTGGAATGTAGGCATGCAGCACCACATCCAACTGGGATGGCTGTTATTGAAGACACCAATGAAGGAAGTTCTTACCCATGTAGAGAGAAGAACCAGAAGTCTTGGATACATGGTGTGATGGCACAAATGGTACAGGTAATGTGAAAAAAGAGCCCAGTGTGGTGTTGAACTCAGTCTGTAGTCCAGGTAGGCTTTAAACTTGTGATCTGTTTGCCTCAGCTTCCTAAGTTGCTGGGGATATTGGCCAGCTCTACACAGCTCTGTATTTTTAATTTTTAAATTTTTAAAGTAATATTTCCACTTTGTTATTTACCCCCAAAGACCCTAACTTAATACCACAGAGACACTTGCACATGGATGTTTATTTCAGCACTAGTCTCAGTAAACTATGGGATTAACCTGGATGCCCAGCAGCAGAAGAATAGATTTATGCACAGTAAAATTTATCCAACCCCAAAGAACAAAATTATGATGCCGTGGGAAATAGTATGCAGCTGGAGATTACCATATTGGGTGAATTAACCAAGACTAGAAAGACAAATATCCTATGCTTTCTCTCATTTGTGGATCTTAGATTTCATATAGTTACATAAAATTACATATCTCTATGCCATGAAAATGTAAGCAATGTTGTTTATGAGGTGGAGGCATTAATAGTAGGGAAGGAAGAGAGGGGGAAGGGGGAGTTGGAGGGATATAGTCAAAGTGCCTTACAGACTTGTGTGGAAATGTCCTTATGAAACCCAGCACTATGTACAATGCATACATGTCAGTAATTTCTCAGTGTATGTGTCACTGTTTGAAATCTATGAGAATGGAACACGCAGCTGAATCTAGTTCCCAAATGGGGACTCAGAACAACCAATAGCTTGGGTATAAAAACCTGTCACCTCTCAGCAGCAATGGCCCTTGTGTTGAGTTCTTGGGATATCCTCCGGGAAGAGGAAGTATATGAGATAAAGGCCTTGGGACAATTTTAGTAACACTCATAATGTCATCCTTGGTCTGGAGTTTTTTTTTTTCACTCTGTCCCAATCTTCTAAGGACATGAAAAAATTCTCAAGTCTCCCATCCTTCAGGTTCTAACAAGACATTGTTGTAGTCTTCTCAAGAGTTAGGAAGTCTGGAATGAGTTTCTTGGTGGTAGAGATTTCAGCCAGTCATTCCAGGGCCATGACGGGTACTGGCCTCAGATCCTGGGAATCCTGCTGCCTACCAATCTGGGTTTCACCTTAAGAACTTTTCTGTTCCAGCACTTGTCGTCTCCTCCTCAGGAAAAGGGACAACAGTCTGACCTACTTGCTATACCAAGCCCGTGTTCATACAGTGTCGTGGAGTGCCTGTTAGAGCATGCGCCATTCTTCTCCTGCTAACCCCAGGGGTGTTTCAGTCTCTTACAAGGCAGGTAGCTTGGAAGCCTACTGTGTGGTTCTTCTCTATTCTAGCTGAAACAGAGTCATGTTTCAGATAGAGTATAAGCTACTAATTGAAAAGAAGAAAGACATGACAGGGTCTTATGTAGCCAGGCTGGCCTGGGATTTACTATGTAACCAGGGCATGTCTTGAACTCCTGATCCTGTTTCTACTTCCCAAGTTCAGGATTACAGGTGTGAACCATTTTACCTATCAGCTGCCACTTTTTAAGTTGGAACACAGCCATTCAAGTGGAGTCTTCTGCCATTTGTTTAACTGTTTTTTAAAATGCTGCCAGAAAGGAAGGCTTAAGGTGTCAGACCATGTCTCTATTTTGAGTTAGTACAGTACACTGTTGGAGGAAGGGCGCTTGTTGTTTCCCAGTCGCTTAGCCCTGAAACAATCACACAGAAACTGTAATAATTAAATCACGGCTTGGCCCATTAGCTCTGGTTTCTTATTGGTTAACTCTTACATATTAATTTAACACATTTCTATGAATCTGTATATTGCCACGTGACTGTGGCTAACCAGGTAAAGTTCCCAGCGTCTGTCTCCAGCGACTCCATGGCTTCTCTCTGACTCTGCCCTCCTTTCTCCCAGCATTCAGTTTAGTTTTCCTCGCCTACCTAAGTTCTGCCGTGCTATAGGTTCAAAGAAGTTTCTTTATTCATTATACAGTATACAGAGGGAAATCTCACATCAGTACACTGACTGATGATAGAAGGTTTGGAATCAGAACCCTGGATACTCCGCGCCAGCTACTGTCCTCTCCCTGTCCAGGCTTCCTCACCTCCATCAGCTGAATGTGAGATTCAAAGGGCATCCTGTCAACAAAGAAATGTGTCCCACATAGTGCTTGGTGGAGAAGTGGTGGGGGCTGATGCAGTAGGTACTCTTCTGATTTACATGTTTAAGTATGTCATCATGACCCAGCCCAGAGACCTTAAGCACACAGCAAATAGGGAGAAAAAAAATGTAGTCCAAAGACAAAGTAAGCAAGTCAGTGAAGAATATTAACATTTAAGGAAAGACTTGGGTTAATTTGGGGGCCGACTTCCGTCTTATCTGTTGCCAGATTCTCTTGCGGATCTCTAAAGGTCAGAGTTGGTATGTTTTCTGACTGCAGAGGTTCATTGTGCACCCTCTAAAGTCCATGAAACATCAATTATGTTTTAAGCCTCAGATCTTGGCTCTTAGAGGAGCACTCTCCTCTTTCTAAATAGTTCAAGGTCACGTGTTACAGAAGCCTTGCAGCTCACAGGGGATAATGTTCTCATGAGGGACTGCAGCTGTCCCAGATTCTCCTGAGGAAAACTGTGTTCCCTTCCTTGTCCCAATAAATGCTTATTTGGTAAACTTTATTTCTCTCTCATAGTCATTCATATGAGAATAGGAAACGTTGCCTTTAGCATGCTGCCTCTCTTCTTTTATGCAATTTGACAAGCCATCGAGACTCCGGCTAAGTCTGCCCGGATAACAACTTACCTGAGTGGTCTTTGGCCGGCCCAGTCACAACTCTGGAGGCCTGGCTGTCTCCTTCTTTACTTCTAGGGAAGTGGGCCCAACTTCATTTCATTTTCAGTCTGTTCCAACTCTATGGGGAGACCATAAAATGTTTTAGGTAATAAGCGTAGTAATGATGGTACCTATGCAAGCCTGGTGATATTAAATTCACAGTAGCAAATGAGCCATCTGTTATGATCTGAACTGTGTCTGGGAATTTAGAACAATTTTCATACTAGAGTGAAAAAGGCCCCATGGTAGAGATGCACAGTATGTGCATGTAATGGAAATATGCATATATGTATGTATGTACATATATATATCATACATGTATATCTAGGTCTGTTTTACCTGTTGCAAAGCAGAGATAATGACAACTGTCTTTATAGGTAGAGGTAGAAAGACTGAGAAGGTCAGTTAATACTTGAAGGCTGCAAACACCCAGTAACAATAGAAATACTTCCATGTTTCCAAAGCTCAGCCTCCCCTTCTATAGGCATTCATCATTGCATAGTTCAGTTCTCTTCTTGGCTTGAAGAAAATAGGATGACTCAGGTGGGTTTTGTGGAATCAGCGATCAGACAGATGAAGAAATGTTGACCCTGGTGTCATCAGAAGTCTTGAAATGAGAGGCAACTCCACTGTATTCTTTCCAGGGAAACCCAGGTTCTTTACTAGGCTCTGTCTTGGCCTTCTTGAACTAACTCCCTGTCTCAACTGTTGTATCAGTGATTCCATCAGGGAAATTTCATGTAACGTAGACTGGGTCATCTTGGTAACGTGATAGGTATTGTGGGGAGTGTCAAAATGCCTCTTATTTAAATCACATTTTATAATGACATTGAGTACAACTGGCTAGATAATTAGACTAACAGATACTCAAAGTAGATCACTTTTTATCTTGGCTTATGCTCAAATTACATTGCACTTAAAGCTGCCACCTTTTTCCCCCCTATTCATCTTATAGCAGATGTTATATGGCCCTTAACCGATAATTTATTTCCTTTTCCTCTTCTTATCCATGACTTGTAAACATAAATGTTTTCTGTATACAAGATTTCTAACAAACTGCCAGTGGATAAATAAATGGCTTTCTTGAAAAATTATCCTAGGTAACTCATTTTGAGACAATGTATAGCTGAATAATCCACTCTTTGCTCAAATCATAAGTCTCTTGCTTCTGCCTCACAAGTACTGATATCTCAGAGGTGTGTATGCTGGCTACCACGTCCAACCCTTTCAAATTTTCTATTTCCTTGCATTGCTGAGCATTAAATCAACTGTCTCATACATGCTCGGCAATCGATCTATCACATGCTCGGCTCCGGTAGTTTAGAAAATTCAAAGAAGAACCTACTTGGTGCTATAACTGAACTGCAAACCAATATTCTCATTGTCTTAGAAAGCATGAAATTCACAGAAAATTTGGAGTTTGCTATATTTAAATGTCTTTGGAGTAGGTAGTTCCCACAAGGAATAGATAGGAAGATGAATTTATCACTGTTGCTTTTAATGCTAGCATTTCTGGAAGACTTTGGCCCTGGTTAAGCAAAAAATAGAAAGGCCACACGGCTCTTTCCTCCTAAGAGTCTCCCTATTGATCTCTATCTCTAAATAATAAATTTACAGCCTGAGGCTGTGGCACAAAATTTGATTTTTATTTACTAGTACCACTGTAGTTATTTTAGGAGACATGATTCACACTCTTTCTTAATGTTATAAGACAGTCTTTGAAACCCTTTGTGGCATTTCTTTAAAATCTACTGAAATGAACCAGACAAAAAGTTGGCATCAGTTTGGGGAAGGACTGCTCTCAAGGAAGGCCACTGATACACCTGTCCACGAGAAAGATATGCTCAGTTAATTGGAGATTGTGATTCCTAAGTCAGAAACCATGGATTTAGGCTTAATGGGCTGTCTCAATGGCCAGAAGCACCCCTAGCTTTCCAGGGCACCAGATACATGGACATGCACTGTCTCACACCTGTTATCACTAGTAAAAAGAATAAGCTTTGGGTTTGGTAGACATGCCTATTCTCCTTTTCTCTTGCCTTCTTCTATGCAGTAGAATACATCAAATTGACCCAAGAGCACCTGTAACACAATGGTTGTCTTTTGTTCCCGGGTCTCCCCCAAGTTTGATTTTACTTAGACAGTGCTCATAGCTGCATTTTTCCTCTTCTCATAGGTCTTCTTTCACGTTTTTCTCTCGAATTCGAATATCCTCTTCCTTAACTCCTCTTATTCTCTTGTACTCTTCATCTGGCTGAGCTCTTCACGACAGAACTCACGTTAAATGCCGTTGAAGCAGCTGTTCCACACCAGAAAGCTGGACCCTCATATTAAGCATGTGTCCTCCTCTGCCCTGGAAGAGTGGAAATGTTCTTGTCTGATGTGGGAGGTCCCTCTGTATGCTGTGATTACCATTGATAATAAAGGAACTGCTTTGGGCCTATAGCAGAGCTATAGCGGAACAGAGCTAGGTCGGAAAAGCTAAACTGAATACTGGGAAAGAGAAGGCAGAGTCGGGGAGAAGCCCTGTAGCCTTGCTGGAGACAGACTCCAGAACTTTATCCGGTAAGCCACTGCCACGTGGCGATACATGGATTAATGGAAATGGGTTAAATTAATATGTGAGTTAGCCAATAAGAAGCTAGAGCTAATAGGGCAAGCAGTGTTTAAATAATATAGTTTCTGCGTGGTTATTTGGGGTCTGAGCTGCCAAGCAGTCGGGAACCAACAAGTGGCCTCCTCCTTCAACTCTTGCCACAACCTTAATATGCAAGGAGTGGACATTTAGAGAGACATCAGTCTGTGCTACCCTTGAATTGTAGTTGCTCTTCTTTTAAAAAATCATAATGTAATTATTTATTTATTTCCCGATCTTTGCCATGCTATTGTGTTTTCTGACTGTTGGATCAATACCTGAAAGGACTTTTGTACATCGAGCATATAGTCCAGAGTTAGACCCATGACCAAACATAAGCTCATTTTGTTAAATGAACAAAAAGATGAATAGAAAATAATTAAAGAGAAAAAAAACTTCACCTGGAAAATTCACAGGAAAAAAAGAAAGCTCCAAAAATGGGTGCCACCTCATTCTATTGCACATCTGTTCATGCTCTTATCCTCTATGAGCCTGAAATAGAAAACCTTCAGAAACACAGCAAGTGACACACCAAGGAGAGTTACACTTCAAATGCAAAGGAGAGCTATCTGGTTTTATGGAAAATTTGCCAGAAAGCTTAAAATAAAATATCCTTAAAATCTTAATTGAAGGATCTCAGAACTTTCGTGAGGGAATTTGACTTGCCATTCTCAAGTCTTATCAATTTCACTATCAGAAAATTAAAACTGGGAATAGAACATTTGGGTGTGTGTGATTAATTCCAATGGTAGCATATAAGAACTTTACAAAGGAAAACTAAACATATGACAAACACTATACGGTAAGTCATATGGAACTTGATAATAAATATATGATAGCAGTTATTCTGCATTCAGTTTAAGGGTTAAATATCCAAAAAAAAATAATGTATTTAAGTTTTAGGACCTTAACAAAGGTACAGGATAGTATACTGTAGTGGAAAACATAGGTACTGGCTTATTAAAATTCAAAAACTTAATAACCTATCAAGTCCAATATGTACCGCCCATCTTCACCTTGGTGAGCCACCCACTGGAACATGGTCAACCCACCAGGAATTACACCATTAAAGAAAGCTGACTTCCTCCCCCATAAGCCATCAGTAGTCAACCTAACTGTTCCTTGGGGGTGAGGCCCATGAGTCCCTCCACATTCTGGGTTGGAATACTCCAGGCTTGATCTTGTCTAGGTCTTGGGCAATCTGTCACCACTGCTGTGAGTTCATGGACACAGTGGCCCTGTCCAGAGATACTGCTCCACCCCTGTCTCCCCACAGCTGGAACTTAGGGCCCTTCCCTGTTTTCCTGTGATAGTACTTGACCTAGGGAGTACCAGTGAGTTAGATGTTCCATTTGGGGGCAGGTATGAAGATGGCAGGGATGCCGGAAAGACTTAGAGGGAGGAACAGAGTGTGTGTGAATATGACCAAATGCATTGTATGACATTCTCAAAGATGCCTATTTCCGCTCTTTTATGCAAAGAGCTTGGCAGTCACTATTTCCATCCTGACAAATAAGGAGCCGAGGACCAGTGACTTTTCTTACACCTCTCACAGCATTGTCATCGGGAAAACTGTCATGCTGTAATCCATGGGGACAGTTGAATAGACTATCACAGTTGAGAGGAGCTAAACTGGCCCAAAACCTGCTACCACCACAAACACATAGAGCCATGAAGCTGAACTTTGGTAAAGTAACAACAACAATAGGATTGAGAAAAATGACTCAGAATGATTCAGACCTCTAGAGAAGCAATCACAAAACAATAGCATTTTCAGAATGTGGCATATGAGAGAAGGTAGGTGGCTTTAGACTTAATTATGATTTAAAATACACCATAAACCCTTAAAGTTAAGTTAAAAACATCTTTCTTGTCTGCATGAGATGGTTGTGTAAGTTTTTTTTGTGGGGGACATGTATGCAAGCTTGTGTGTATGTGTGATATGTGTGCAAGCACACGATACTATGGTACACATATGTGTAAGTCTGAAAAGGATCACCTTGGGTTTATAGCCTTTTCCTTCCGCCTCATTGGAGACAGGGTCTTCCTTGTATTTACTGCTGCCTCTGCCAAGCTAGCTGGCTTAGGAGCTGCTGGGGATTTTCTTATCTCTGTCCCCAAGCTCACCGTAGAAGCATTGAAATTATAGAAGTGTACTGCCTCACCAGGCTTAACATGGATCTGAGGATTTGAATTCAAGTCCTCAGGCTTACATGGCAAATATTTTACCCACGGAACCAATTCTCACTCCCTAAAATTAAACACTCTTAGCTGTGAAAGATTCTGTTGCGAGAATAAAACAGCCAACCACATAGTAGGACACATTTTGCCTCACAATTTCTTCTCTCAGCTTTTTCTCTTTGACCACGAAGATGGTGATGAATCCTCTTTTAGTGGATTGCTGTACCAGAGTCCATTTTGGTAAAAGAATGTACACTTCCCTACTTCCAAGACATCACCAGTGTACTGGGTCCCCTCTCTGTAGTCTAAGTTTAAAGAGGATGCCTCCTCTTTAAACACAAGGGGCAAAATAGTGGGAGCCACGGTGTTGCCTCACAGGTAAATGGTGAGTTCCAGTTAATAGGCATTCTTTTTAACTCTGAAGTCCCATTAAGTCTGTTCACTCACTCTGGTGCTGAAGTTGGGTCAGGAAGTCATGAAGAAATGAGCTTTCGTGAAAATTACAGAGGCATCCTGAGGAGCATTGCCTCTTAGTGCTGATATGTGCGAGCCCTTGAGAGCCGTGAGTGAGTGCTCTCCTCTTCCCTGGAGGGTGTCCTCCCTGTGTGGCCAGTGTGCCCGTCCATCAACACATTCCCCAGATGCTCTCTCAAGGAGATTCTACTCTCATTGCCTGCATATAACCACAGGAAAAGTGCTTCTGGCTCCGTCCACTGGGTCAAGTTCAACACAGCCAAACTCCGCAGTTGCAATTTCCCACAGCTGTGATGCAATAGGCTTGGAATGGGACACATGGCTGTTGGATTTTTTTCTCGTGTCCCAAATCTAGAGGCCACTGCTGATGCACACGAAAAGCCAGCAGAGGCATTAGATCTTGAAGATTAATCCTGAAGAGAATATGATACCTTTTAAGACCACCCAGTGTCTGTGGTACATGGTCCTGGCATTCAATCCACACCTGATAACTGATTTTCCTTCTGGAGACTTTGAAAGGCTTATGGCAAAAGCAAATGAGAGGACCATTTCCCTTGATCTCACCCTCGTATGCCTCACTACTCGTATTGAAACGATCACAAACTAATTCATTACTCTTGCTGTTTTGCATATGTGACAAGCATGGATGTGGGAGGACGCCCCTGCGACTCAGACAGGATTTAGGGTTTTGGTGGCACCGTCACTACTCTCCCTCAAACAGACTGTGGTCATTGGCAAAGATGTCTTCTCAGACTGAAAGTCAGAAACAGTTTGCTACCTCCAGGAAATACCCTAAAAACAAACCCCAGCATTGTCCAACCTTTCCTTACACGATAGATTCATAAAGCTATGGAAAGGACAGCTTTGCGTAGTCTCCAGCAGGCTGTGTAAAGGGAGTCTGTACAAACACCGGCTGCTGTCCCCAGCCTTCCGGCCCCTCCAGGACAACCTGACACCCTGATGCTGGGATTGCAAAAAGTGATTGCTATAGTCAGCAAGATAAGGGAACCCAGATTTTTTTTTCCTGAGCAGGCTCCACACTGCTCCAAGCTGAGGACCGATAGAAGCGATTAGAGAAGGGTTTCTTCTTCAAGGCCAAGCTACAACGCACAGGCTTTCCTCTGTCTGACAGGTTCTATCCAACTGCTTCCTTGGAAAAATAAGCCCTAACCTCTGCATTATGCTTCAGTCTGCAATCTTTAGGAAAATGGGAATACCTCCTCCAAAGACCTTAAAGCTGAGCTCTTTTCTCTACCCAATAATCACTTCAGTGTCTGTGCTGTGCTGATTGACACCGTGGCTTATCTGTGCAGCAGGGGAGGGAGTGCACGCCAGCAGATGTTATGTAAGAGCAAGGCGCTCAGTCGGCTCTGCGTGGCAACTTTGTTGAGCAAGGAGCAGGATGAACTATGAAAGGAAAAAAGATGCTTTCTTGTCTACCTCAGAGCTGGAAGAAAGGAAGAAAAAGAAACTGCCTAACGACAGCAAGCTGAACACACACAAAAACCTCAATTATCATTTCTTCATTCATATTCCTTTTAGTAAGAGAAAAATTATATGCTGTTGGGCTTGGTACCCATTAAAACACAGAAAAATCAATCAATCCAATAAATGAGGTACTTTGAAACTTCACAGTTAATGCCAAGGACATGCTGTAGGGGTTGCTTATGAATTCAGAATAATTTTTTTCCTAGAATACTGTATTAAAATTTTTGAAATAATTTAAAACAATGCAATATAATAAAAATAAATGGGAACAGAGAAATCATATTGAGTGAGCAGGGGCTTCATCTAGACGAGTGGAAAATTCATGTGGAATGTGACCCTCTTGAATTTAAAATGTTTATCCACCACTAGCTTTCAGAAGACATTTGAAATCGGAAAGTCTACCACAACCCAAGGCTGCCCTTGTTGCACAATGTGGGGGAAAGGCATCACCACGTACTTCTCAACCTAGGATTTACAACATATGCATTGTGTCCCTAGAAGATCTACGGTTAGGCCCGCACTAAGGCCCAGAGCAATTGGGCCATGGTCCAATCTGTGAATAGGGAAGTCAGCTTTGAGGCCCCAAGCTTTGTCTGCACATTTAGCCGCGGTAGGAGCAAGCACTCACGCTCTGCATTGACTGTCCCTAGTGGACACCTTCGTCTACATTTCATCACACTGTCATCGGGCGGGGGCCAGACTTTCTTTTATAAGAAGTGTTAGCATTTGAAAATACTTTTAATGCTTTGTCTGATCATGGCCTTTCTCCTTCTATTGCCTGTCTGGTGCCTGCGACAGAAAACTCTGGGTTATAGGAAAGCAGGTTGCAGGGCGGAAGCTGGCCTTCCAGAAAGTCTCAGGTCATAGGAAGTAGTGGAAAATGAGGCCTACTGGGATGAGAATTTGATCAAGAGTAGAGGCTTGACGGAATTTTATAAGAGGCACAGGGAATGTGGTGATAACATAGGGGGCAGGTTAACCTCACAATATGAAGACCTCCAACTGAAAACGTGCTGGGAACAATTGTTAAACCTCTAGGTTCATGGACAAGACTTCCTGTCCATGGACAAAGAAACAGCCAAGGCGTCTCACCAGGCTTCTTCCTGTCCCTGACCAGAGATTTCTCAGGCGCTCACCTTCATTTCTTGCCCAACTGGAATCTTTAAATTTTTCATTCTGTGTTTAATGTTCGATCACATCAGTTTTATTTCCCATTTAGTCTCAATGCAAGGATTGAGAGCCACAGCTTTATACATGTTAGAAAGTTCTCTGAGCTATGTGTCCAGTTTTCCCCCTTTCAATGCCGTTTTGCTGTGCACGTATATAGATTTGATCAGAAAAATGTTTTCATGATCATTTTTTATTTTATCTGATAGTAATTAGAAATTAAAAATGAAATGAAAGGCATATTTGATACACTGATGATGTAACCAATTTGATTCACTAGATAGGAATATTTTTTGGAAAATTTTCTTTAGATAACTCTGATGGCTCCAATTAACCTGCTCTCCTTCCCCATCTTTTGAGAAAACAACACATGTGTGGGAGAAAGAAAAATTTGCCTTGGGCACCTGTGTCCAGCTCTGCCCAGTGATCCAGCCCCAGTCATTTGTCAATAATTTGTCCAACAATGCAATGCTTCTTTTTAAAAAAATAACCTTATTGAAATGGAATTCTATCACTTTCTCCCTTCAACACCTCACAGCCACCCTCCCTCATACTCTTCCGTGCTCACTACTCTCAAGTTGATAACTTCTTTTTCTCTGATTATATCTATTACATATAATCATAAACACACACAAACACACACACACACAATTTGCTGAGTTCATTTTTGTTGTCTCTGTGTATATGGTTTCAAAAGCTGACTACTCTGCATTGGACAATCAATAATGGAGCTAATTACCGGAAGAGGCTAACTCTCCTTCTCTCAGCAATCAGTAGTTGTAGTTCGCTGTCTAGTGGTGGGACTCCATGAAAATTCTCCCCTTCCATGTTAAGATGTCCATTGAGATTAGCATTGTTCTAGCCTCATTCTAGAAGAGACTGTCTCACAGAATTCCGAGTATTCTGTCTCTTACAGTCTTTCTACCCCCTCTTCTGCAATGTGCCCTGAGCCACAGATGTGGCTGTGATGGAGATGGATCTGTGGAGGTTGGGCTCCCCTCTCCACTGCCCTCTGTATTGTGTACAGTTTTGTGTTTCTATGATGGTCTTTGTCTGTCACAGAGAGCAGCTACTGGGATGAAAGTGGAGAACTTTCTTTTTTAAGACCTCAAAGCGTGTTTAATTTTCTCAACATTTCCAATAAGATACTGTTAAAATGTAAGTCCTTATCAGCTAATAACTTATTTGTTGACAGCTGTTGTGATGCCAACCTTGATCCAAGAAATTGAATTTTTCAGAAAGACCAAAAGCAATACTGAGAGGAGAAATTGAAGGGCTTATTGTTATGTTTGTTATGACATGCATGTGTTGAGTTGGTATTTCCAGTCCAGAACTCTATCCTTTTCTCCACATACATCCATACAGACGTATACACACACATACACACACACACACATATGCACAGTTATTTACTTTCCGGGAACTCCTTCTGCTGTTTGCACATTGCCTGTAAGTCGATATTTTCAAAATTGAATTTATTATCTTGCTGCATCTTCTTTCCCAAATCTACCTTTTCTTAATACCTTAAGAAGGTGGATGGAGCACACTCAGCCAGCCACAAAAGCTAGATGCTTAGACAATAGCAGCTTCTGTATTGTCCTTTCAGAACACCACAGTACTATAATTTGCCATCTTTACTAAATACGTGTTCACATTACCATGTGTGTGTGTGTGTGTGTGTGTGTGTGTGCGTGTTGACATTTTATTTAATGTCAACAACAACCCTCTGTATAACTTATGGTTTTATTGTCTGGAAAAGACACCGGGGTTGAAAGACGACTGTGTTACATATTCTTGGTCACAGGAGATCTACCCAACTTGTCTTCTTTATTTGTCTGAGCGATCCTTCTACAAAGGATGTGTTTAGAACCTGCTTTCTCCATGGTCTTTGGTCCTTAGACTTGGTCTTGATGCCTTCCTCATCTTCTCACCCCTACCTCTGTGACCATCTGTATCACTGTTTTGTCTATTGGCTGTACCCATCTTTGGACTGTAAACCTCAGGAGGATAAAGATTGAGGTGTTTGCTTTCCCACCAGCCTATAGGCTGCAGCGTGCAGCCAATGAGAAGCATTAACAAAATGAAAAGAATGTAAGGAATAAGAACACACATATTTGGAAATATAAACAACATAGCCATTATGAAAGAGAACTCTAGCATCTTTTAAAAAACTAAACATGGAATTAAATCACCATCTGCTGCAGCAATTCCTCTTGTGGTTATATATCCAAAATGGAGGAAACCCAATAAGTTGCAGAGATATCTGCACCCTAATCTCATTGTTCCATTATTTCACTGCTAAAATATGGACACAACCTATTTCCCTCATCACCTAGATAGATACCAAACTGTCTTATATGCACACCAAAATACTATCCACCACTAAGAGAAAGATCCTGTTATTTAAAACATTGTAAGTCCAGAAGACATTGCACCAAGTGTAACATGTTAGACACAGAAAGACACATACTGTATGACGTCACTCATACATGAAATGTAAAAAATAAAATTTGAGATGATTGTTACCAGAAATTGGAGCGGAAGGGTGGACAAGAAAAGAGGTATCATTGGTCAAAGGGGACAAAGTTTCAGCTGGAGAAGAAAAATAGCTTTAGTGATTTATTATACAGAAGAGTAATTATGGCAACACATTTCAAAATAGATAGAAGAGTAGATGTTAAGTGCAACAGAAGTTGTTTCCTTCTGAGAGTCTTTATTTATTTACTGACTTTTGCTTAGAACTGGCTCTTCAATAGCACCCTCTTCCTAGATCTTCTGTTCTTTAATATCATCCCATCTGAGGTCTCGCGAGTCCAACTCATTGCCAGATTCAAAAGATAGCTCTTGCAGCACTTATATCCCAGCATTCGCCGTCTTTCTTTAACAAAGCAGAGTGCTCTGCCTTCTGCATTCTATCCTGTGAGCTGGGAAAGGCTGCGGCTTTCCTGCTGATCCCTTCTCTGTGGTGCCATTTTCTGGGATTACACAGTGTCAGTGTGCAAATGGAACTTGGAGACCATTTGTCCAAATCCCTCTGAGGAAGTCGAGTCCAAGAAAGATAAAGCAGAGTACCAGGTTCCTGCTGTCAGCAAGCAGTGCTGCCCATGTCTACCTTATTTGCTCCCTGTCTCTCCATCGCTTTGCTCTGGGCAGTCAGGCTGAGCTGTTTGGGAAGTTGGCCACACTAGTTCATCTGGACTCTCCAGACCTGCTCGGGACTCCCTTAAAGGGCTTTGGTTCAGTGCCTTATGTGCTCAGGGTCAGCCAAAGAGCTGACTTCAGGATTAGAAGAGGGTGGTGTAACCTCAGAGCAGCCTGCAGTGACCAGACACTAACAAGGAAGCCGCCAAACAGAACCACAGCCAGTTCTGTCACCCGTGCAAGGATCTGTAGCTCAGCCATAACATCTGGGGGAACGATTTGCCAAGTCCAGTGCTGAACTCGAAAAGGCTGTGTAATCGCATCTGGAGTCTAGACCCTGTGGCTCTCTCCTGAGGGCTGAGTCTCGCTCTCTCCACCACTTTTCCAAAGCAACCTTCCCCACACGCCAGCCAGTCAATCTTCCTCGTCTAATTTTCAAAATTCTTCCCGTTGTTCAAATAACTTCTGACTTCAGTTTTTCCAAATACTCTTAATAAACATCTTAGATAAAGAATTTTCCCAATAAGAAGGAATTTGTAGAGTCACAATGTCAGAGCAGATGGTGTCCCCGCATAGTTCTGGAGAAGGGTCTTTATTAGTCAGCTCTGTGACCTAAAAAGCCATGTCACTGAGGCTCCGGTCGTCTTGCCTTGACAATGAAAATGTTAGACCACAGTTGGAGCTTTCTACCCTTTTGCTTTCCCAGTAGAATGCTTTTGTCGAGGGAAATATTTTAAACGCATCTATTTTATGTGCACATGTGTGTGCCTGAATGTAAGGATGAGTACTGTGCGCATGTCGGAGGTCAGAAGAGGGGTCACATTCCCTGGAACTGGAGATATAGGTGGTTGTGAGCAGCCACCATGTGGATGCTGAGGATGAAACCTAGGTCCTTTGCAAGAGGATAATGTTCTTTATATATATCATTTATAATGATAAATGTTCTTAATTGCTAAGCCTCTTCTTCAGTCTCCACAAAACCGTTTAAGGTATGTAATATGAGAAAGAGTGAAAGAACCCCTTTTTCTAGCTTGTATTAGGGGGTGAGAGAGTCTCACCTTTGGAAACAGATACTGTACGTGATGCCTGAGGGGAGTACACAAAGGGAAGATCTCCATTTCTTTCTTCTCTTTGGAATAAGGGGCTAAAACAACAATGACTGTGCATTCTCACTGTCTCCTCGTAGTTGTCAGTCCCTTGTAGTAAGGCACTGCAGTCTGAGTCGTTCTGGCCGAAATACTTGCCACTTCTGAGTGGAGACACTGAAAACCTTTGTGAGCTCTTTCACAAGCTCGCTTCTTACTTCATTGGCAAAAGCAGTTGCTGTTCTCTGAGGCACAGCCAGAAGATGGCTGAGCCCTTAGCAGCCTGCATCCTTAAATGACTCTGCAGAGGAGACAACGTTTTGGTACTACAACAGACATGCTATGTGACTGCACAGCGGCCCGTTGGGATCTGGAGGGTAATCTCTTTCTCCTGGAAGAAAGCTAGCCTGTGTTGATGAAGGTCATGGGTAAGGAGGAGGGAAGAAACACCAGAAGAAGAACAATGTTCTTTCATGTCAGGTCTTATTCAGCCATCTGCACACTGTGGAGCCCCATGTTTCAATTGTACTACAGCATAAGACAAAACCAGGCCATCTGGAACAGGTCGATTTGAATAAGGAGGGTTTCATAAGTAACATAAATAGCAACACTTTGGATATTATTGAGCTAGAACCCCAAATAATAACTGTTAAAGGAAACTCTTTCCAGAAACAGAAGGTGCTGACGTTTCTACAGAATTTTAGACCATGGAGAGAGAAGGCTAAATCTCTCAGAGCATCAAAGGGTAGAAGGGCATTAGAATAGGCAGAGCAGGGCTTATCTTTCTTTGAAACCTAGGCAGCCTTCTATCCACTTTCTGTGCTTTCTCCTGCAGGGCACTGGCACGCAAGGATTCATAGCAGTAGATGTAAAGATTCCATTTCTACCCTGGGGGCCAAGGAGAGGTCAGGGTAACTGAGCCAAATGCTAGAAGCTGAATTCCTTGGGTTCTCTAGCAGAAGTGTGTTCCAGTCGCTTGGTGGGTCAACTGACAAAACACATGCTTCTTTGACTTCCTTCTCTCCCAGCTGAACGTCCTTTTCTCTTTGCTGACTCACGTTACACTTAAGGGAAACACTTGCACCTAAATCATTAACTCAGTATAGCTGGGAATAAAGCAAAGCAAGACAACAACCATTTTGCCAATATACTTTGTCTTCCATAGGGTCCAGCTCTTTTAGCTAAGAGACTTATGAATGTCATGGATTCATCATATAAATGCCAATTTCAGATCACCGAATTGATGTGGGATTCTCCTCTGTATGTTGTGAATACCATTGGTTAATAAACTGTGTTAGGCCTGCACAGGGCAGAATAGAAGTAGGCAGGGAAAACTAAACTAAATGCTGGGAGAAAGAAAGCAGAGTCAGGAGAAGCCATGTAGCCCTGCCAGAGACAGATGCTGGAACTTTACCCGGTAAGCCACAGCCTCGTGACAATACACAGATTAATGGAGATGGGTTAACTTCAGATATGAGTTAGCCAAAAATACGCTTAAGCTATTGACCAAACAGTATTGCAAATAATATTGTTTTTGTGTGATTATTTCGAGGCTGAGCAGCCGGAAACAAACAAGCAGTCTCTTACAACATCAAATGGGTTTTTAAAATGGAC